ATGTTGGAGCGCTGACCAATCCCTTACCGAAATTGCATCACTAATAACCGAAACAACAAAGGATATTTACTTTTCTTTCATTTCATTATATCTACTCAAGCTTGGATCTTGGACAATCAAAAGTTTCAAAGGGTGAGCTGAGATGTTTCATCAGACAATGCGATTTTGGTGTAAAAACCAAAGCTGTGCTTACTGTATTTCCGACTTGAACAATGTAGTTTCAAGTAGCGCTAACTAAAATGGCCTGATGCCATGGTAACACAACGAAACGAAGCCAACCGCGCCTCCTGTCGACGTGTAGAAAGGCGTACGAGAAGTGAAGGACATTTTACCTGTTCTTTTAGCTTATTACCTGCCCTTTGTTGCAGGGTGGCACAGATCGCCCCTTTGTTTAGCAGTTACCACCACACTTCCACCTCTTTGGACCATGGAGACCTTTCCATCACCAATCGAGTTATACATAACGATGTCTTCTTACCGCGCTATGCTTACGTATTTTCACCAATAAAAATGCTAATATTCCTTTTATTGTCAAGACTAGAAAACCTTCTTGCATTGTTGTAACGCATCCAGCGTGGCGCAAACTCCTTGCATTTGACACACAATCGTTCCATTTACTTTCTTACTTTAAACATTCATTATTTTTTTTAGCAGGCGATGATCGTCCACGCGTCAGCTCTGTTCTCAATCATGAACCAGGCGTTCCATCCAATGATGTCGGTTCGCTAGCCATTGTAGGCAAACCAGGTAGGGCAACAGAGTGCTACAAATGTCTCCTTTTAAAAGAGCACATTCGCCACTGTTGCTGCAGGAGACCTTTGTCTACCACCGCTCATGTGACACATTCACTTTTTACTCGAAAGGTATAAAAAATTTGATTATCCTCAGATATGGATCGTTGCGCATCTGCCATGCTCCACTAAACTGAGGTTATTAACTTGGGACCTGTTACAGTTCAACCAAGCCTCAGAAGCTTTACAAAAGTGATTGTTACGAATTCATGGCATCGAGCTAAGAAGCCACATGTAGGCAACACCAATGGCCAATGTCCCACACGATGTTTATTGTTCCCTACCTTGAGCTTTCACCTTCAAAGTCCAGTAAGCGAGTCCACCAGTGTGTATTTATTTCCATTCTAGTTGCTAAGGTCTGTCCCCATGTTCAACGGAATAGTGGCAAAGTGGAGCGAAGTTATTTGGTCCAGGACTACCTTGAGAGACGGCTAGCAGCTGCCAAAAATCGGGCAAAGTCGGACAATCGGTCGTATGGTGTTGCTTGTGCTCTGGGACACTCCCCTGTCTGCAAGTGTCTTAGCTTTTGAGAGACTCTTTGGCTTATCGTCAAGTTTACGAGTGCACAGTAACTAATATTCCTATTATTTTTTGATAATTTTCAGCACCAATAACACTTGATAGTCTTAAAAAGACAAAAATTAGCGACTTTTAGACACCCTACTTCTTTATACAAAATTTTCCAATATTTAAACTGTGGTAACTTGTGTTTTAGATGATAAACAAAACTGGATGAGTCCAGTGGAAGAAG